GTGGGTTTATCCCGGCAATTCATTACCCGAATTAATCTCTCTCTCTCTCTCTCTCTCCCTCTATCGTCCTCGCCGAGATCTTTCTCTCTCTCTATATATATGAATGATGGCACTTCGATTCTGGATCCTGGATCCTTCGATCGAGCCTCTTGGTTCGACGTTTTTTTATTGCCGATTCTCGATCGTTGACTCCAAATTTTTCGTTCGAAATTCTTGATCGGAGACTTCTTTCTTTTTATAGGGATATCTCTCGCGAGATTTATTGCAACGTGCTACGTTACAGAATATTACAGAGTACAGTAATATACGGTACAGAGTGCAGTAAGTACAGACTTAAAGAAAGACTTGGTCTAAAAGAACCGCGTCTGAACCTAAGAGACCATGATCTAGATCAGCGTTAGGCCCCGTCAAAGATAAAGCTGTCGCCCTGACAAACTCGGGCGACGCTGGATCAACCTTGGACTATTAACCAGAAGATTGGTCCGATTCGAGATGTGTATAAGAGACAGGCGTTAGGCCCCGTCAAAGATAAAGCTGTCGCCCTGACAAACTCGGGCGACGCTGGATCAACCTTGGACTATTAACCAGAAGATTGGTCCGATTCGAGATGTGTATAAGAGACAGGCGTTAGGCCCCGTCAAAGATAAAGCTGTCGCCCTGACAAACTCGGGCGACGCTGGATCAACCTTGGACTATTAACCAGAAGATTGGTCCGATTCGTGCGAAATACAGTAAACGGCGAGAAGTAACAGGAGACGAAAGGCGCTTAGGCACGTTGCAAGTATTCAGAAAGGCTATCACACATGCCTGCATCCAATGACAATTGAAATCCAGCTTCGGAAAGCTTTTGGATAAATTCATCGCGGACTTTCGCTCCCAAATTCTTGTTCCTCGACTTCAGACCCTGGACTCCAAGTTCGCGATCGCAAGCTCTAGACTCTAAATTCTGTCCTCTAAAATCGCGACTCCAAAATTCTAGATCCTCGGCTCTGAATTCTGGATCGCGGGTTCGTGACTGGAAGTTCTCGATTGCGGATTCTCGACACGGGGATCTCGCCGATCACCGATTCCCGATCCTCGGCGGGCCGTTTATGTTTATTCTGTCGGGGGCATTATGCTAGGTGAATCCGAGGGAGAGCTCGCCGGGGCATTGTGGCGAGCGAGAGGACGCGGCCGTTTCGATGAGCGCCGTTACAAGAATAGGAGAAACTAGGAACGGGGAAAACTGTGATGGATATAGGATCTCTAAGAGAAACGCGCGGAGAGCCTGCGGGCTTGTTTAACGAGTAAAGTCGGCACCGACCCTCTCTGTAGGTCTTGCTATCGGCCACGTAACGCGGATCCAACAACTTTAAGACGAGCTAACCAACCGTCTAACTCGCAATAATCTCCGCTACACCCTTTTAATAAACCCTCGTCCGCGACGAAATTGTTTCATCGTTGACTTTCCGGCCTCGTCGCACACATCGGCCGATCAATCGTACGCCAATTAATTCCGTGTCACCGTCGCGTCGATCATCCTGCGCTCCCTCGATTATTATGAAAACCTGCGATTCCAGCAGTTTCGTCTGTAGAATGTTCGTTCGTTAACGCGTTCGGACAACAGCAGGCTAACTCGAAGCTGAATAAAAAGATGCTTGTTCTCTTTGCCGTTCCGAATTGTTCGGAGTTGTTTGCAATTGTTTGCGTCGAGGATACTCGTCTTCTTGGAAAAAACGCCGGCCTCTTCTGCTCGATCGTTTCTACTATCGTTAAATGGTGACGCAGAAATTAATGTAGTTGCTTGAGTTGTTTTACACGGCGTCTTCTTCTCTCGGCGTCTTCTTTGCTGTTCTTAAAACTGTTCGGACCTGTTTGCGTCGAGCATACTCGTCGCGGGGTAAGAGGATAATTTCCTCGGTAACTTCTCGTCCTATCGTCGAACATCGACGGCGAGATTAGTAGATCTTTTCGGAACGTTCGAGCAAGAGAAAGAAACCGAAACAGATCGACGAAGATCTCTGAATAAAAATGTCCTGAAAAGTTGATGACACGGCGCGTTCAACGTTGCAAGAAGACTTGGCATAGTTACGTATTAACTGGTAGCAGTATCGAATCATATGTAATCGGATGTACGTAATGTAGTTACAAGACGAGCATAATTTTATTAGAAAAAGATTCACGATTTTTGAGATAATCGAGCAGTGTCCTATTCGCGGTGGTTCTCTCCGGTACGCGAGACTAACGAGACGTTTGACAGGCATTTCGGAAGATATTTTCGGAAGATAATTGCGGAGGCCGGCGAGCAGGGCGAACGTCGAAATAATCGGCGGCTAAGCGAATTATTCGTTCGAATAGTTATTGTTTTCGGCGCGGAGATATTTCTTGGCGGAATATCGCGCGGAACGTCAGTCGCAGATCCCCATTACGAAAAATGTGGGCAGCTCTGTCATTTGTTTTTAACAAAACGAACACGATCCATTAAAGCAATTTACTGATGTTAATGGTCCAATTTATCAATGCGAGCACGCTGGATAATGATCTTTGAAACGAATGCGCCGGAAAAGTATATGGCACGAACTGATGCATTAATTTCGCGGAATGACGCACGTGTATTGCGAGCCTCGGGGGCCGCGCGCTGCAAAAATCCACGGAATCGACCAAGTGTAAGCTCCAAAATCGAGAACCCGCTGCGATTTTATTGATAACCCCGCATCAAGATAATCACTCGGATGTGTTACATCGGAATTAGCGAATCCATCGCGCCCGTGTACCGCCTCTGTCTGTCTCTCTCTCTCTCTCTCTCTCTCTCTCTCTCTCTCTCGCCGATTCCCATTGTCCCCGCGGCTTAAATATTTCCGGAAACAATACGGATTATCTTTCAACCAGCAATCAAATAATTAGAAACATCCGTTTAATTATAAACATCGCGAAATCCTCGCGATTCTACTTCGCGGATTTTCCCGCGATTATTCCTGCACTTTTGTGGACGCTCGCGATCGTTTATTCCGTCGTAGAGCAGTCAAATATATTTATGCGGAATCGCGTAACAATGAAAATCGTGAATTTGATCTCGAAAAGGCTTCATTAAGAAATATCGACCCGCCGATCTTCGGCAAGCTTCCGACGATGATTTTACGCGCGTCGCAGTTTATTTCTGCAACGTGATGCGATAAAAATCTTGACTCTAACGCCTACCGAATCGTTAAATAGGAAATATTTCCGCGTTTCGAACGTACACGGGCACACGCGAAATTCAATCGGACGCATAAATAAACATAAACCAGCAGGAATTTCGTGTAACTTCCGAGTTTCGGCACGCTTTAATCCCGTTTCTTTTTTTCTCCCCCCCCCCCTGCCCGATAAAACACCGTTTTAAGCCAGAAATTCGCAACATTTTCATTTCGCTTTGGTAACAACGAAAATGTTTCGGCGAACGAAACGAGTTTTCCTTTGTTCGGCAAAAATAATCCGCGAAGGGAGGAATTCGCGGAAAGACATATTGCGAGCGTATCCATCGAAAAACTGGGAAGGCCGGACGGGACGACTGTTCCGCAAATCCTTGATATATTCGGATATCGTATAGAGTATAGGGAACAAGCACATAATGCTCGAGAAACATATGCAGATAATACCGGCGCACACATGGCCGCTGCGCCGCGGCGCGCAGCGCCGGTATCGGGGCGAAATGTTCGATATCAATCTCGTGTTTCAGCGTGCGTCACGGTTTCGGTGGCAAGTTTAGTTGCTGGAATTTGCCGCGCGTCAATCACATCATTTCGAATCCGTTCCGTAGCTTTTATTGCGCATCATGATCGACGTTAATGCGCACAACAATGCACTTTCAATATTTCCGCCGAACGAAATTCATAGGAATCGAGATTAATATGTCGACGAACCGCAAATTCGTCGAAATCTATCGCGGCGACCCCATTGTTTCGACATCGAACGCCAAAGAAGCTCGGTCCACGTATTTTCCTTTGACCCCCCGAGACGATTTTCGCGTTTTTCAATTAGCTATTATAATGCTGCTGCCGATATCGCATCGTGGAAACAAGAGAGAGAGAGAGAGAGAGAGAGAGAGAGAGAGAGAGAGAGAGAGAGAGAGAGAAAGGCGCAAACGATGCGCATTTCGCGAAATTGAAATCCGAAGCTGACTGTTTCAAATTATTTTTCTTTTTACTTTCGACGCAGCTCCGGCACTTTTTAACGTGCTGTCGCAATTATGCAGTTTAAATATGCATTGCGCGCATAAACGGGGTCCGTAAACCCTGCGAATTCATCGAGAATCGTGAAAAACGCGTTTCACGTCATCGAAACCTGCACGCGCTCTGCGAATGTATTTCGTCGACATCTGAAACAGCTTCGTACTGCAACGATGCAATTGGAGGTGCATCGTAAGAACAAGCACCGCAGTTCATCGATCTCGCTTCGCGAGATTGAAATCTAAACCGGATTATTCGAAACACTTTCCTTTGACTTTTCAGCCACAATTTCTATAGCTTTCGACGAGCTACCATAATCGCGCGACTCGAATCGCATCGCGAATGGTTAATGCGCCTCGACGCAATAACGAACGTTCCTCTTATTCAACCTCGCCGTTCCACGGCTGCTTCGCGTGACTGTGAAACAAATTTAAGACACAGTTTCAATCGCTCGCGCAAATAGAAACGAAATGCAACATGGCCAGCCTTTAAAAGCGGTCTTTTAGCAGCCTCGAACGTGTCTCTGCTCTCGCGATTGTGTCTTCCTCGTGCGAAAGACGAACGAAGGTGGAAAAACTGCGCAGAATTGGTACCGCGTTCGTTAATATATGCGCAACATTGTGCATAATTATCTGCGCGTGGAAGAACGCGTTCGTTTCACCTGAATAATTGGCAGATGGCCTTCGCCTCTTCGTTCCTCGGATAATCTATGGGAGAACGTGACTGCACGCCGATCGGGGTTTTTTTGCGATTTCTGGAAACGAAGAAATAAGGAAAACCGATCGACATCGCGTTTATTTAAAGAGGAGCCTCGGGAAAACCGTCTCATTGCCGTACAGTGGCCGCGTCGACGAAGATGAACCGGCAGATCCGCTTTCCGTTCGTTGCCTTGTTGTTCGTTTTTGATCGCGAGTGGCTGTTTGGCACCCACGGAACAAACCAAGGATCGAGACCGTCCTTATAGTTCATAATTTTCGCACATTATTGAATTACTGGATCGCTCGTGTGCCGAAGGAAACGCATATGTCGACTCTGTTTCCGTAGAACTCTTCCGGTGTGCAGAAAAACGTAATCTTCGAACGGCCAATCGTAGAGTAGAATTTAGAGAACATTTCTGCCGGCTTCGCAAAGGTACTCGAAACTACTGGACACCATTTTACTACCGTACACACGTCTCGCAACAATAAAACCACCGAACGATTTGCAGTTTTTATACACATATACATTCGAGCCGATACAATAATTAATAGATCGCGGTTTTTCTGTGAAATACAAAACTGTCTGCAACGAAAAAAACGATATTTTTCTATGAAGGAAAAAATTTCATTCGGTAAAAAGAGAGGGGAAAAAATGATGCATTGTTTCTGAATACGATTTCGAGCGTGGCGGAAAAAAACTGCGAATTTTTCGGTGGACCGCGAATTTGATGCACTTAACGGCGAGATAGATTGCAGTTTCCAACAAGAATTTGGCGAAAGATTCGCCGTCGACCAGCGAGGATGCAATAAAAAACGGGTTCTCCGTTTAAGAGGGGATCCTCGAGAAGATCAGAGTTCGTGTTCGTTTGCCGCCTAACGGAAAGATGAAGCGCGCGGTGTTTTCTATAACAACTGTTCTCATTCTTCTGGCGGTTTGTTCGACGTCGTTGTGCGTCGAGCAACATATACTCGACATAATCCGACCACCTCTTCGCCCTTGTCCACCAGGACAGAAACAAATTTCTCCGAACGAGTGTCGACCGATTCTACATATTCCTTTTAATGACAGTAAGTAATCTCTTAGTCGCGACAAGTAATACAGTAATGTCTCTCTAATTGACGTTCAGATTGTGGACAATTCGGGAAGAGGAGACACGATTATTCGAGTCTTGCGGTTCGTTTTCATAATTACGAATTGCTGCAAGACTCGAATAATCGTATCTCCTCTTCCCAAATTGTCCAGTTTTGTGCGCGATCCGAGCGTCAGTTAGGGAGACATTACTGTAACTTGCACGAATTTTTGACGATGTTAGGCTTTGAAATCGCGTGCCGCTACTTTGCGTTTCGCGGCACAATTTTTCGCCAAATTGTTACCGATTCGAATTATTATAAATCGAATATTGTGTTTTGCTTCAGAGGGAAGAAGGACCTGACCGGAACTTTCCGAGGATAGCCTAGGGAAAATAATCGCCAAATGTCATTTTTTATCGATCATTTAAACAATTCCAAATGGACCGTTCGTTTCATTCGAAATTGCATCGTAGAAATAAGAGTATGCGTAAACACATTTTTGAATACTAAAACGCCAAGAAAATAGCCCCGACTATTTTCTCTGATTTTTTAGTCGGCCCGCGAGGCTTTTCTAATCAGTTTATTATAATCATGCGATCGAAGCTGCATCGTGCGAATAAAAGATGCGAACATTTCTTGGAACTGAAAAATATTTGTGCAAAGGAAAAATCGGCTACCGAGAAGAAGTCTGCTTTAAATATTGTTCTTCGATTCTCCGAGGACAATTTCAACGCTGTCCCGAGAAACACTGCTGCAGCAACGCGATCGAAATTGCATCATGCAAATAAAGGAGACGCATAATAAGCGCATTGTACGAAAGCGAAGCACGCCATTCGGCGAAAATCGAGCGTTGAAATCGAAAAGTGGCGGAATAGTATAAACAAAAGCCGATCCGATATCGGAATAGTTTAGTCCGAACTAATTAAAGCCAGTGTATTCTGTCGTCCTATTAACACAGCGAAGCTCCGGTAATTTAACTTTGTTCCTTTACCAGCACGAAACAAAGTTCGATTAAATTTCATATTACGGATCTCTTTAATAAGGATTAAAACCTGCTGAAAATCGCGAGGGCCGGGGCATTCGTTTGTTTTAATTGGACATCGTTCCATGAAAGTGTAATTAGCGATTAAGACAGGCGATTTTTCATACTCCGTGCCGCGCGGCCCGAATTCAAATATTTTAAGACAGCGACGACGTTCGAATCGGAATGCTTCGGGACAGGAAGTCGGATTTCCACAATTTTTTAATTGGACCGACTGCGCTAATTATTCTTATCATTCTCATGCGGAACAATTCCGCGGACTCATTCAAATACGATAACATTATCTTCGGTAACAATATAGACATTTCTTAATTCGAGGATCCGATCGGAGAGCGTCGAACATACGATGTACCAGGGAATTTGTAAAAATTATGCTACCACGCGTTGGCGCGAATAATTAAATCGTTTTAACTTTCTGCTAATAAATTCTTTCAAACTGTTTACATTTTTTCGATCGATACTGCACATCGAAAGCGTAAATACCGAAAAGTACCATTTTAAATCGTAGACGATGAATAAATATTTAATTTCACATCGTGCGTGTATTTTCCACGATGAAACGTTTTACTTGTTCGTCAAAAGTGGTACCTTGGACACTGAAATATTCCATTTACAGTAATGCCTCTCTAATCGACGCTCAGATTGTCCACGAAAATGGACAATTTTGGAAGAGGAGATACTATTGTTCGAGCCTTGTGACTCGTTTTTTATGCTGATCGATTGTCAACAACTATAAAAACGAGCTTCAAGGCTCGAACAATCGTATCTCCCTTTCCCAAACTGTCCATTTTTGTGCGGCAATCCGAGCGTCGATTAGGGAGGCATTACTGTACATTTCATTATCGAAACGAGCACGTGTCAATTTCGATGATCTGAAACGCAACAGAAAATCTGTCGTTCTTGCGACAATGAAAAGCGCAAAATCAAATATCTTGATCTCGAGAAAACGCGAGATAAGATATTTCCTTCCTTCCTTTTGTTGTCGCGACGACAGATTTTATTATCCCGTGTTTTCCCCGATGAAATGTTCTTACCTGAAACACAAGCTTACTTAAATTCGAACCAGTCTGCCATTTAAAACGGTACCGGGAACACGTTCCCGGCCCGAAATATTCCAAAGTCCTGATCACGGCTGACCGGATTGGAACTCGGAATTTCGTTGGTATCGGGCAGCTTGCCGAAACTAAAATAAAAAGCCGACGTCCGACCGATGTCGTCGTCCGGCTGCAGCAGATGCTCCGCGCTTGTCCTGGAAGAATTGTCTAACAGTGGTTAATTGCTTGTTATTGCAAGGGTGGTAGCCGAACTGTGGAGGACGGTTCGGGGCGCCGGCGCCGGCGCCATCGGCGTCGGAGCAACCGATCCGTGCGCCTGCTGCTTTCATCGTGATAGCGTACTACTCGTCGAGGGGTTCGAACGGTAGGGGGTTAGGACAGCATACGCCGGCCGCTACCACGAGAGGGATGAATTATCGCGCCCGGTAACCGAGTCGAAACTTCTCAATTCCCATTAAGCGAGGCAGTCGACCAGAAACCGATAGGTTAGTTGGTGAACCTGCTGAGAATCCCCGGTGCTCAGACCACCGGCCAACTCGGTGACTACACATTGGTCTGATCGGGAACATCGGCAACCAGGCGCCAAGAGGACACCGCCCGCGCCCGGCCCGACCCGGCCCGCGCGCTCCGATCGCCTGCGATCCTCGCCGCGAACAACGCTAATAATAATATCGGGCTTATGTTGCAGTCCGCATACAGATGCCCCATTAGATCGTACAGCTCTCGGGCACAACCGGAGCGCAGTGTCGCGTCGCGTCGTCGCGTTTCTTCATGTCCCGACCGAGCACATTCGCCAAAGTCGCGGCAATTTCTCGATTTATTCTCGGTCTTTCGAGCGATTAGGGCCGTTATACCAACGATATTGGAATTTTTCAGCGCGATCGGAATTCTTCGGCGCGATTATTCCTCATCGACCGCAGCGTGCGCCGCGCGGAACCTCTGAACCTGTTCGTTGCAACTTTGTTTCCGCGGGCCACAGCTCGGTCGTGTTTGCTACTTCGTTTCCAGGGGGGCGGGGGAGGGCGCGGTGTCGGTTTCGTGGCCACCCTGCTTTCCGACCCAATTTCGCTTTTTTTCCACTCGCCGCTTTGTTTTCTTCGGCCGATCGGCCGAAGTCCGCGAACTTTGAATGCGGAAGCTCCCCAAAAATTCGAACTGCAGCCATTTTAATGAAGCAATCGTTATCCATTATCTGTTGCTCGCGCGTTGTCGCGTAAATAGATCGCTCATACCTTGTTGTATACGCGACACCGTGTAACGCGAATATTTAATCTAGGACTTTAACGAGATAACAGCTCTATTATCCGAACGAGCACGTATCGTCGTGTGCAAATAGATCGGAGGCGGCGCGACACCGCAATGTTTATCGCATAAATTTGTAATGATTTAATCTAGCGATTTCGTTCAATCGCGTTTCATTAAACCACCCTTCTATTATCCGAACGCGCGCTCCTGTTTCCGCTAGTTCGAATAACCGAGGCTCTGTTGCGGCGAATCCGTTGGCATAAGCGTCGATAACCGAATTAGCGCACACGTGAACGGTAATATGTATATATCGATTGAAGTTGAAAACGCAATTCTGTCAAATGTAATTCGAACGAATTTATATACCACGTTTCTTTCGAAATTATTTGCACGGTTCGACGATTCTGCTCGCCGAAGATAAAGCGGCGAAAATGTATACAGTAAGGTCTCCCTTACCGACGCTCGGGTTGTCTACAGAAATGGACAACTCGGGAAGAGGAGATACGATTATTCGAGCTTTGTAAAACTCGTTTTTTATAGTCGTTGACAATTCGTAACTATAAAAACGAACCGCAAGGCTCGAACAATCGTACCTTCTCTTCCCAAATTGTCCATTTTAGTGCACAATCTGAGCGTCAATTAGGGAGACATTACTGATGAAATATTCGGACGGCATTTAAGACAAAATAACTTGTCCATAATTGGACCAAATGATTCGAATTTTTCCGAGATGCCAGATAGATCAGTTTACTAGACAATGTCTAAACGAATTCTTGCAAACATTTCATTTAGTTCGAACGACGAAACAAACGAGAGAACATTTTCAACGTGAGAAAGTTCGTGGGTCGAAATTTTTGATTTCGGTACCCGTGTTTGGTTGCTCTGTTTAGATAGTCGAAAGGGGTCGCGCAGACACGATTTAGGGGGCAGTGGCATAATTTCGGGATATATAGGCTTCATTAATCCGAGCAAACAGTGGCAAGTTATCAGGAGTCCGAAAATTAATCCCGAAGGGCATATAGGAATTCGTGTTATTCGTTATAATGTCAGTTACGTGCAACTGTTATACTTCATATTTAGACCGGGGATAATAGGCGTCCGATTCGCGCATAGCGCGCGAAACAACGCAATTTTCATACGTTACGCCGCCATTTGTTCTCGATAAGCGAGTTCGGATGCTGTAATACGAGGGGCTTCTATTTAATTTCCGTTCGGCGCGAATGAAGATCGACGAGCGAAACATCGGAAAAAAAATGTTGACGATTTCATTTCGTTCGCGAACATAATTCTATTCCGTTATTTTAGAAATATTTTGCTCGACGTTTCAAATAACGCGTCGGAATAACATATTTCATTTTATGTTCTCGGTATCGTCAAGATAACGTATTTCGCTTTATGATTTTATGTCATCGAAATAACATATCTCATTTTATGTTTCTGCATCATCAGAATAATGTATCGCATTTTATGTTTCGTATCGTCGGAATAACATATCTCATTCGACGTTCTACGCCGCCGAAATGGCATTTTATTTCGCGCCTTTTAGATCGAAGCGGGACGAAAAAAAGTTTCACTTAACGAAACGTTTTCGCGTTCTCGAAATGCTATTTTATCTCGACAATTAAGTATTCGTTATTTAAAATAACACCCGAAATATTTTACGAACTTCGTGATGGAACACAGCTTCCTTTTCGGCATTATTATTCAGGGAGACGGAATAATGTATCGGCGAATAATTATTTTCGAAAATGAGCAACTCGAGCGTTGTTGATTCGCTGGACCGGTCGCACAGAGTTTGTTACCGGGAACGTTGCGGAATCTATTCGGGGGAGAGAAATTTCGAACCGGTTTTTCGCGACACCGTGCGGTATCAATTATTTGCGGTGGTTGGAATTCACCGTTATTCCTTTTCGCGCTGTTGATAGTCCATGCAATGCGGTCTATTTTTCGGAGCAATTGAAAAATTGAGACCCGAGGATATCGGTTTACAATCGCGCGCTAGTTTCACCCGTTGTTACATATTACCCGTCTACTCCTTTTGTTTCCACTGTTTCATTGCTCGCGCGATTTTTCATCCGTTCTTCCTCGCGCCCAGGTTCAACGAAAACGATCAAACAAATAATGGAAAACACGATCAGATTACCAGCGGTGTTTTCCAAAAAGAAGCGTTTTGTGCTGCCGCAATCCATAAGTCAATAGATTTTCGAACGGTTATTGTTTTAGAGGGGATTCTGCCGCGATATGCCTTTGCAAACACCGATCTTTCTGCTTTCCACTAACGAACGTACGGCAGATGTATAACGGTTGTGGTCGCGTTAAGGATTTATAGGATTTGTAGCGCGAGAGTCGATAGGATTTGTCGTCGATGAAACGATTATTAGGAATCCCGTGCAAATTTGTCTGAAAATGTTGCCCGCGAAGCCGTTTTAGATCTCGAAAAAATAGATCGATTTCGAGAGAAAATGAAATCGCTAGCTGTCTTCCGTTTTAATGCTAGAACTAAAAAAAGCGGTAGCAATGTGCTCTCCGCTCGCGTCTTCTACAATATCTAACGTAATAAAAACATTTATATGAAACATTTTTATACGAAGTTCTTTGTACTCCGGTACTCGGTACAATAATGTCTCCCTAATCGACGCTCACAGCTTGGAGACAAAAATGGACAATTTGGGAAGATGAGATACGATTGTTCGAGCCTCGCAGCTCGTTTTTATAATCGTTGACAATCGATAATCATAAAAAACGAGCCGAAAGGCTCGAACAATCGTATCTCCTCTTCAAAAATTGTCCATTTTTGTGGACAATCCGAGCGTCGATTAGAGAGACATTACTGTAGTTCCGGTGTCGATCGTTTCAACAAATAGAAAACGCTGCAACTCATACCTAAATTCTGTTAACGTCGCCCCGCAGTTCACATTTCTCTTGCTCTTTTTCGCGATAAAAGCGGGAAATCCGCGCGGTCCGTTCATTACATTCTAAGAAAACAGGGAACAGATTGCAACACGTCCCGTGTACTTGAATCACGACGATACGGAGTCGTCGAGAACAGAAAAACGCTAAGCCCGATGTCGGTAACGACCGTCGTCGTCGTCGTCGTCGTCTACGTCGGGAAAAGGGAGTCTTTGAGTTTTCTATCTTTTAATACCGCCACCGTGGTTTCCCAGAGGTGGCGCGTGGCGGAAATCTAAAGCGCGGAAACAGTTTCACCTGTGCTCTCCACAGGTTCAAGTAT